AGGTATGCCAAAATATTCAGAAACCTTTGAAACGTCGAGAAATGCAAAAATTTTCATTTTCGATTTTTTTGCGATTACTATAACTTGCCCTACGGGAAGTTAATTAAAGTTTAATTAATTTTTATAATGAATGTATGTGTGTGTGCGTGCGCACATACAAATTTTCGCCGACGATTTTGCGAACACGGATCAACCGATTTGAGTATTATAAGGAGCCTTATAAGAAGACGTGCTGATTAGTTCATTAACTTCCCGAATTGTTAAATAAACGACTCAATAAAATATAATTTATGATTGATTAAAAGTATCCGAGTGGATTTATTACACATCATTGTACACGAACAATCACGTTAACTCGGAGTATTTTCTAAGAGCAAATTTTCAAAAATCAACAATTTTTATAATTGAACCAGTTTTCGTAGGACTTTAATGGTTTAGTATGTTCATTAAGACCAAGTACTCTATCGTTATACCAAGTAAATCGTCTACTTTTAATTTATCGTTTTATCGTCTAATTTTCTCAAACTTTGGTGAACTTTTAAAATTTAACTACTTGTCGTAAGACTGTAATATTTCAGTAAGTTCTATAACACCATGGTATATATCGCCAAAAAAACTTCCATACAAATCGGCTTAAATTTTTTTCAACAGTTAATTACAAGAAAACGGCTCGGTAGATTTTCACCTAAAACTGATCAGTATCATTCCCAACTAATATCTTTCGAACAATTTTTGATTTATTAAAATCGATTTGGTAGTATGAGCTTAAATGTGGACAAAAAGTTTAACACTTTTTTTAATTACAAAGAAACGGCTTGGCAGATCGTCGCACAAAACTGACAAATGATAGTCCTCATTGAGATACATCAAATGGCTTGTAAATTTCTGAAATCAGTTCAGACGTTTTTGAGAAAACGTCGATCAAAGGTCTAATTTTGACAAATGCCAAAAACACGATACCAATTTTTGCAAACTTTGATAAATGTTTAAAGTTGAACGACTTGTGGAGCCGTAATATTTTAGTTTGATCTATAAGACTACCGTCGAAAAATAATAATAAAAATTGTTGAAAATTTTTTTTTAACACTTTACTATAAGAAAACGGCCTGGCCGATCACTACCAAAAACTAATTAGCACGATTCCCATCCAATACCTTTCGAATGGTTTATGAATTTTCAAAATCGATTCAGAATTGCGGGCTAAAACGTAGACGAATTTTTTTTCGCTTTTCTGCTATTTATAAAGAAATGGCTGGCCGAGGTCGCACAAAACAATAGTCCTCATCGTGGTGCATCGAATGGCTTTTAAATTTTTGAAATCGGTCCAGCCGTTGTTGAGAAAATGTCGATTTACGGCAAAAAATCTGTTCACATACACACACATATACTTTTTCCAAATTTGGTCTCATTCGATTCAGAATGATTGAAACGCCGAAAAAACATAAAATTAGCAAATCGGATTTTTTGATGAAAGCATAAACTTCTCCTTCGGGAAGTAAAAAAAAGAATAAACTCTCTCGGGAAATTAAAAAAAATAATGCGATTTGGCGGTCGAAAATGAACTATTGAGTTGTTATCCTAACATGTCAAAACAACATACAATGTCCCTTTACAGCTGACAAAATGAACATTAGACACAAAATACAAAAAAAATCAAAATATAAAAAAACTAATTTTTCATAAAATTTATTTTTTTCAAAAATTTCAAAATTTCTCAAAAATCTAATTTTTTCAAAGCTTTTTTTGAAAATTTAGTTTTTGGTACTGGAAGTTCCAGCAATTTGCCTTAAGACACGATGTCATGCAACATTAGTTTTTGCCTTTACTCGAGATATCTTTAATATAATTATAAATTGATTATGTGAAAGTTTTATGCTCCCTCATATATAAAGTGCTTAGCTATTATTATTCTCAATGTTCCATCTTATATTATATTACCATGAACAGCAAATTTTTAGAAAAAAATAGACCAGGGCTTAAAGGTCCGCGGATCAAAAATTCCACCACCGATATCTCAAAAACCCCAAAAAAACTTGTAACTTCAATATTTGAAAGAAGAAAGAAAAAAATGTGTAACCAGCCATCACCTTGATTCTTAAGACGTTGCAAGTGGAAGAAAAACAGCAATGTTGAAAATGCATAACAAAAGTATTTTCTTTCGTTGTTAGTTTTTTTAGGTTGTGAGCACTGTTGCTTAGTTTACGAGACCTTAATATTCGTTATTTAATTGTTTTATAAGATGTATTGTTAATTTTAAGTTAGATTCAACAGTTTTTTTATATAACCTCTATGCAAGCTCAAGCCTAGGTGGGGTAATAAAGATCAACTGAAACTTTACAACGGCAAAGATGTAAAAAATAAAAAATAATTAACAAAAAGTAAATTTAGTTAAATAAAGCAATTTTACAATAGATAAATTGAATAAATAGTTATTCCAATTCTGCTGATGAATATTTCTCATGAAATACCAGAGCAACGTTATTTACAATGTTATCTCTGTAAAAATGCACCCATGAAAATTATATTTTGCATTGGTGGAATAATGTAGCTATTATTTTGTAAAATCCCTTTAAAATTTAAATAAAACATTAGACCTAAACATTACCTCTGGCCGTCCCAATTAACCCTTCCTGTAGGGTAAAAAGGACAAAGTTACAAATTTTTGAAACCAGCAAAAAACACATTTCTACAGTGATGTTCTACAGTGAATTAGTTCGAAGTTATACTCATCATAATCAGATAGTTATGAGTGATATAATTGGTTTAGTTTGAGTACTAATTTTGATTTATCATTTGAGAAATATAATATTTCATTTGATTTAAAAACTAGTAAATATTGTAACATTGTGTAATATTTATAAGAATTATATAAAATAAATTGCAAAGTTGAAATTATTTGTTTAAAGTATATTGGAACTTTATATTAGTCAGAATTGAAAATAAAATCTGAATTATTTTCGATATACAAAAAAATTTTTTTTTAATTTCAAAATTTTAAAACAAATTTTTTTTCTTAAATCAATTATTTTGTTAAAACAAGCAGAAAGTTCTTTAAATCATTCAAATCGGTCGCTCCGTTCTCTCAAAAACTACCATTTGTTGCACATTTAGCTCTGTATCTTCGAAACCGCTGGACCTGCCTTTGCAAAAAACTAATCACCCCTTCTCCCAATCATTACTAATTGAATATTTTTAGATCATTCAAATCGGATGCTCCGTTCTCTCTAAAACACAATTTTTATTTTCTGCACTCTTTGCTCCGTATCTCCAAAACGGCTGGACCTGCCTTTGCCAAAAAATGTCAATCAATAAAAATCGAATATTTTTTCAACCATTCAAATCGGTTGATCCGTGCGCCCGAAAAAGTGGACAAAAAATTGTATCCATACATTCATACATACACACACACACACACACACACACATCCATTTTTTCTGAGGTATGCCAAAATGTTCAGAAACCTTCAAAACGTCGAGAAATGTAAAAAAATTTAATTTCGATTTTTGGACGATTAC